ACTTTGTTACCATTTCCCCATATATATATATATATATATATATATATATATATATATATATATATATATATATATATATATATATATATATATATATATATATATATATATATATATATATATATATATATATATATAGCCAGTAATGTATTAAAAGTGCCCTTAAAGCCACCAAAACAAACATATACTCCATATCATATAGTGTAAATTAATAGTGTAATATAGTGCAAGTTAAGCAACTAGACCTATATCAATATTGCATTACGTTTCTCTATGCTTTCCGTATGCATACATACATGGTTTTACAAAATATTGTTTTTTTTAGGTCTACAACTATTGGGTACATAAAGTGATTTTACTTCGTTTTAATTATCTACTAGTGAGCGTGATTTGATTATGCATTACAGATTTTTTGATAATTTACCTCGCTTATTTGATTACTGTTGTGACGGAAGTATTCGAGATCCTGCTTCGAGCTGCTGATAACTCTTGAGCCAGTAATAAAAATTGTCGTCTGCTACCTGAATATGAAAAGCAATCTCGTATGCGGTATTAACAATTTAATCGGCTTTATTTTGTTGATGGATGGATCTTTTATAAATTTGGCTCCAGATTATTCATGTAATTGGCGAGTAATGTAGATAAACTGTGTTAAAGCATTTGTTCAGCAGCTTTCCTTTTGAGGTCTTAATCAAAATGTATTTTCATCTCTAGGCAATCGATTACATTCATAGGATTTAAACGAATCGAACGTCTTTTCTAGGCGCTAGGCATATCCAGTTACTGAACGTTATCACCATCCAGTCAAATCAATAACATTTTATTAAAATGTGAATTAGCCAAACGAACCCTCTGACGACCTTTCATTAGCAGAAAATCAGCTTAAATTTCTAAGTAAGTAAGTATGTAAGAAAGTAAATATAATAATAATAATAATAATAATAATAATAATAATAATAATAATAATAATAATAATAATAATAAGAAGAAGAAGAAGAAGAAGAAGAAGAAGAAGAAGAAGAAGAAGAAGAAGAAGAAGAAGAAGAAGAAGAAGAAAGAAAGAAAGAAAGAAAGAAAGAAAGAAAGAAAGAAAGAAAGAAAGAAAGATGTTAAGATTATGTTTCATTGAACATAGTTCTTTTAAGTCACTGAAAGTCCTCGGCTTGTTTTCACGTGCTGCAATGTAAAAAACTTACAACAGAAATATCTGAATGGTATCTTGATTTGGTCATCCTCGTCATTACCTCTGTCCGTCCGTCAGTCTCAAGATGCTTTTCAGCAATATCGTTCAAAAACAATTCAATGTAGATGAATGAAATTTTGCTAGTATATTTGCATCCATGTTTGATTAGCTTCCTAGGCTATTAATGCGATTTTTAAATATTTCTTTTTCCACATTTTTTAATTTTCTTGAAATTTGAATTTTTGTTAAACCCTTCTAAGCATGTTGAAAGAAAAATCACTTGATTTTATTTTTGATTTCATATATTTTTTGCTTTATAAATGACATTAAAGAAATAAAGAAAATTTTACCGTTATTAATGTTTTATAATCATGTGTCACTCTCAGTATTAGTTAAACCAGGATAACACCTGCAGCATTAGATCTTAACGTCACTTTTATTAAGTAAACCATAATAGCAGAACTTTGCAAAACCATTTGATGTATAAAAGTGTAGTGTGGCATGCATGTTCATATGCACGAGTACATAACCTGAGTAGAATTTTATACCAATACAAAACATGTTGACATTTTTCTACATTTATAAACATTTCGGTTACGGGTATTTGGTCTGTGGTGGGGACATATGTGTTTTACAATCACAGATCTAGATTGTTATGTTTAATAAGCGAAGGATATTTAGCACAGTTTTTATCAGTCGGAACAGTAAAGAAATAGTTTAGTATACATGTTAACTTCTTAATTGTAGGACTTAACTGTGCATGCACCTTGTTACTATATATAGAGGATATCTCCCTCAGATGGTTATCAAATGCCTTCTCAAGATTATTTTAACCTGATTATCTGTTATATAACTATATTATTTGGCACTCATACGTTTGTAAATATATAATATAGATAAATATATGCATATATATGCTGAACAATGGCGTTAAGCAGCCCCACAACAACAACACTAATAATCAACGTGTCTACTGCTATAAGAAGCTAGCTCTGCTTCCTAGCCGACTATTGGTATTTCTCTGGTTACATGAGGTGTACATGCCTAACATCCGCTTCAAGAACATAAGCCGGAAAGGCCAAATTCACAAATATGTCCATATTTTTAATTATTACTCACCAATAGCTCAAAAAATCAAAACATGCTTTAAGTTAAGAAAGTTGCTACTGGTCAATATGCAAAACTATCCCCAGCAACTATAATTCTGTATTTAGAACGTTTTACTTGAGTAGTAATAGTAATATTGTCACCTCGCGTTCTCTTTGTTTCCCATATACTTTTTGCAAAATCTTGAATGAAATCACAAAGCAATACATGATAATTAAATTTATATTTGTTGTATCTCTCCGGTAGTCATGACCGTAAATGGTTAATTACCCCACTACTATAACGTGACCTTAGGGCTCTTTACACGTGACCTACACATTTGTTGCCTCCTTTAGACGCTTCGTGAAATTTGTTAACTGTCCTGTCATTGACTTGAAAAAATCCAGACATTATTATCACGACGAGATGTTCGGCAAGGAAATCTTGACAGATTCCTCGAACGAAACGCATCATTTAAGTACATAATGCCACATTCCAAATCAAGCATTGTGCTCAGTTAGCATCTAATCATTGTGGCACGTGCTTATGCATCCCAGCAGCACGTTGGGCAGGGAATGGCCAGTCCAAGTTTTGACAACATTGAATTCTTCATGCAGATAAGATGGTACTAATTGATCCTTTTATCTGTATGCTAATACTGCGTGGTCAAGGTGTAATTTTTCAACTGTTATGCAAATTTTTATTGTAGCCATGAAAGTTAAGGCCACCTGTTCGTCTGCTTCTTGACAATTTATATGAATCGTACCATCGTGCTAAAAAAATTTATCCACAGTTCCTACTTTAACATTTTAGCGTTTGATTTTAATATTATATTAATGCAAGTCATGTTAGATTGTGCACATGGTCGAAATCAGCCATTTTCTGGGGTGCTTAAAATGCAGTAATAATAAATGGACAGGAGTTGCTCTGACGGAGCATGTTCTTTACGCTTTATCCAAAAAACCCAATCAAAATACTCCATAACTGAATTTTGTTGCCTTATAAATGACATTAAATAGATAAAGAAAATTATACAGTTATTATTGTTTTATAATCATGTGTCTCTATCGATATTAGTTCCACCAGGACAACACCAGCACCATAACCATTTTTATTACAACCGATACATAGTTATTAAACAATACTTTATGCAAAATCAATACCTATATGAAATTGAATTGCCTACAGTAAACATTTTCAAAAAAAAATGATTATTTGTATCCGTCACAAGTAACAATTTTTCTAGCACAAATATGTGGCACAAGTTGATCGTATGATATGAACTTGCATAAAATAATGATTTTTATTTAGGTGTAAGATCTGCTTTAAGAAAATATATACTGAGAAAATGGTCTTCGGTTTCTTAATTTTAAAATGGATATTGGAGTTAAAGTGCACAATAGTTTTTGGATGGAAGAGTTTTAAATCCACTTGTGTGTCCTTTGTCCTCATCCGGTATGGTTAGTCGAGCAATCATTTGGATGCCCTTTGTCTTCATATTGTATAGTTTCAAATACATTCATCTATAAATTACAGCCATATTCTATTTATTACTTTTACGAGACCATATTCCGGCATCGTTTTTCTTTCGCATGTCAAAAACCATCAAACCGCTTACAAACAAGTCATATCTAAATTATAATTTCGAATATTATGATAGAATATGAATGGAGAACCCATTCTTTTAATTAGAGTGAAATAACGTCACCTGTGTCTGTTGAATTTCCCTTAGATGTGAACTATATTGGACATATCTCCTTTCATGAACATATGGTCAGTCCATATAGTTAATGGGATACCTTATAACATTAAACTTATTTGCCGTATATGCGCGATTGTAAGAAGTGCCGTCCTAACAACATTGTTATCTCTGGGCAAAGCAATGCACTGGGGCCCCCTACCGGCCCTACTTTTCATTAACAATATGGGCAGAATGATGCCCCTAGAAGCGCGAGGCCCGGGCAATTGCCCAGTGTGTCCATGCCTTAAGACGGCATTGATTGTAAGTTGAACCCTACAGCAAACGGCATAGACCCATATCTGCTTAACATAATGTATCGGCATATATGTGTTTATGCAATTTATAAGGACCAATTAGAAGAACACATACCATAGCTCCTGATCTGCGACTACGGAGAAAGCTCTATGTTTTATAAAGTCGTGGTCGACTCATACGCAAGTATGGACGAAACTGTGATAATTATAGTGGTGCTAATAGCTGTCCAGTAATAGCCGCAAAGGTGACAGGTGTGGCAACTCATTTCACGATTGATCTAGAGCTTTAAATGATGTTGCTTTTGGTATTTATTCAAATTTATGTACTGCTTTTGTATGATTGGATTAATTTACAAGGACATTTACAATGGGCGAAGACGCCTCGAGACAAATGTAAGCATTTTACGAACATGTATTGAACCCCACGTCAAATCCGCTCAGCATATGTACATCCGTATTAGTATGTACCGCTTTGGTTATATTCACACTGAAGACCATTCAACTTTTTATGGCGTGTGTTGGATTTTTTAAGTAGATTTAACAATTTTTCAGTCATATCGCAGTGTGGCAGTTTATAGTGATGTCTAGCACAGGAGCATCATGCCGCAGATATGTAGCACGATGTCGTACCATTACACATTACCCTGACACCAGATCGACCAGTCCTAACACTAGCCTCTTCATGCAGAGCATCAACCGAGGCAGCTATTAGTATCATTTTTATAAGTCTTTGGGATGACTCAGCCGGGGTTCGAACCCGAGACCTCCCGCATCCGAACAGGACGCTCTAACCACTTGGCCACCGGAACTGTCTGCGAAGACGATCTTCGACATAAATATTCGTGCAATCCGTATATCCTTAACAGAGTTTGAAATTGTGGCTATTTTTTATCTTTTGTCCGAATGTGTGTAGCAGCTATTTAGACCCAAAAGTAGGGACCCCGAGTGGTCGAGTAGTCTAAAGCTCTCTCTCTGTTACGGATCACTGACATTTCACCTTTATCAGTGTAGGTTCTGGGATTCGGCCAATGTGGATATGTGAGAAAGCTTGCCAGTAGCTTCTCGTGGGTCGGTGGTTCGTTGCGGGGTTTCCCTGGTTCTTCCTCCACCATTAATACTGGCTCCCATGTATCGTGTGCTGAAAAAATGGCGTTAAGCTCTACAACAACAACAACAACAACAACAACAACAACAATAAGAGACCCAAAAATATGTTGTCAGGTTTTAATATTATATGGTCCTTTTTTAAGTTCTAGACTTTCTCACAAACCGGTGTTCAAAACCATTTGATCCATGATAAAAGGCATATGAACCAGGTCACAAATGAAAAGTGGTTGATCGAATGTATGTAATTTAGTTACGTCTCTTTGCAAAAAAGAAAATGTCAATTTTTAATTGTTGCTGTATGCTACATGGTAGGCTGGCTAACTGAGTTTCTTCGTTAGCCAGTTGCACTGACAGGTGATCATTTTAGCTATAACCAGTAATCACTGTGTCAGGCCATTACCAATAAGTAAATATCGATCAGATCACAATATTGAGCACGTTTGTCAACGACAGTCGAATTAAATTCAGACTGAATGAAAAGGGTAACCCCCTCCCATTAATAGTGTACTTTTTTTCGTCTAAATAGTGGGTTCTTTTTGAAACTATTAGGCTTTTTGCAACGGTACATAAAAAGACTATGTACTTAAGTTTTTCCCTAAGCAAAATTCCACGGAATCTTAGATTTGTTTGGTTCAAATGATTCGGTTACAATAAAAATAGGTATTAGCTCCCAATGTCAGGAATGATTAGACCAGTGTTCCCAAAGTGGGCCGATCTGCCTCCTTGGGGGCTTTGGAATTACCAAGGGGACACTAATGCTGAATAATGCTCTTTACGGTCTAAGGTATGGGTCATTGAGGATAACCGAAAAAGTTTGGGAACCACTGGATTAGACGTTCATTTTCCAGTGTCATACAGACAGTAAAGATCTATACGAAACAGTCGTCATTGTAAGCAAGCGTCCGTGTAATCAATTTTCAAATTACTCAGGGATTTCCGTGAGTTCGAGTCTTTGCAAGAAAGCTTGCCATTTACTTACCGTTGATCGATGTTTTATTTCCAGGATCTTCTCGGCTTTTTCCTCCATCATCTATACTGGCTGCCATGTAGCTTATCATGTGTTGAGAGGAAAAGAAAAACCAAATCATATCATTAAAACAAATCTGTGTTTGTTGAGGGTAAATCAGAAACCAACCATTTTTCTGACAGAAGGCCAAAAAAAAAAAAGAAACTTTGGAAACCATTTCTATCGTTGTCAAAGAGGTCACAGTTAACGACTGAATTAAGTATTTACACGATATATCCTTCTCTAAGAAACAAAATAACACTCGCACGCACACACAAACACAACTATTCACACACACTCAATCATTTTTACTGAACCTAAACTGCTCAACATGTTGTAAATGAGGAAACGCAAGATAAAAACTCACACTCCGTATACAAAACAGTAATAATACACAATTCAGTCACAACCATAGTAGGCACGGGTCACTTTCTGTCAGTGCTGGGGGCCGGAAGTTCAATTTAACGACTCAATCGTATGACGTAAATTAACGAATTAAATCAGACCACGGGTTAGATTCGGCCTGCTTGCTCTCCCTCAATTAAATGAACGAAGATCAATATAATTGGAAAAATGTACTTATGTCTCTCAGATATCCCACCATTGTACCCAAGATGGGGATCACACTACTGTGAGATTAGGTGCCTCTTTCCGCGAGTCAGGCAATAACTCTTATAAATGAATCACGAAACACAACTGAGCAATTACTATTATAAAAGGATCAAGAAGTACAACTGGGCAATAACTCTTATAAAATAATCACTAAGCACAACGGACAAACACTGTTATTGAAAGATACGAAGTATAACGATTGGTCAATAGCATCTGTTGATATAATGACCATGATACCATAAGTATCAAGTAAAGGCCACCAGTAACTGCCGGTATCGCAGAAGTCCATACAAAGTAGCTCAGTGTCAGAGAAGTATATCATTAACTGTCAGTATCGCAGAAGTTCATACAAAGTAGCTCAGTGTCAGTGAAGTATATCATTAACTGTCAGTATCGCAGAAGTCCATACAAAGTAGCTCATTTTCAGTGAAGTATATCATTAACTGTCAGTATCGCAGAAGTCCATACAAAGTAGCTCAGTGTCAGTGAAGTATATCATTAACTGTCAGTATCGCAGAAGTCCATACAAAGTAGCTCAGTGTCAGTGAAGTATATCATCAACTGTCAGTATCGCAGAAGTCCATACAAAGTAGCTCAGTATCAGTGACGTATATCATTAACTGTCAGAATCAAGTAAATGTATCAGTAATAGACAGTATCACGTAAGTACATCGGTAACTGTTATTAGGACTTAAAAGTCCATCAGTAACTGTCAGTATCACTATAATCTACTATTATATATCACTAACGTAGACTGTCAGTAACTGTCAGTATCACTATAATCTACTATTATATATCACTAACGTAGACTGTCAGTAAATGTCAGTATCACTATAATCTACTATTATATATCACTAACGTAGACTGTCAGTAAATGTCAGTATCACTATAATCTACTATTATATATCACTAACGTAGACTGTCAGTAAATGTCAGTATCACTTATGAACATAAAAAACTGTCAATATCACCGAAATCCATCTTTAAAAGTCAGTATCCCTGAAGACTTTTAATAACTCGGCACAGAAAGAGTGTTATGTCAATGAGACCCATTAGGAACAGAAAAGAGTGTTATGGCAAAGAGACCCATTAAGCACAGAAAGAGTGTGCCGTCAAAGAGATCCATTAGGCACAGAATGAGTGTGCATTCAAGGAGACCCATTAGGAACAAGAAATAGTGCCGTCAAAGAGACCCATTAGACACAAAAATACGTGTGACGTCAAAGAGACCTATTAGGCACAGAAAGAGTGTCATCAAGGAGACCCATTAGGAACAGAAAGAATGTGCCGTCAAGGAGACCCATTAGGCATAACGGTACCAATTGTACAACACTAGGTGGGCGGAGCTTAAGGTGTAGGGAATATTGCGTTCAGAAATAAACAGCAAAACTAACTGTGATTGGTGCATTATGTCAGGCTTTAAAAAAGTTGAGCCTCTTTGCAACATGTGAGATTTTTTTATAAATTCGTATCTAGATCCCATTTTGTATTTTTTAAGATTTTTTTTTAATGTGGTACAAATGACTGAAAAATGTCTGGTGTAACTAGATAACTCTTACTCCTGTCTAGTTCCAGCAGAGTTATTTCTCTTAAATGCAATAGAGTACCTGGTGCTGCCCTTGTCAAATTGACAATCTAACATTGTTCTCTGTGACAGTGGGTGATATGCTTGCTGAGGTAGGATAGAAAGTATATTTATTTCACAAAACATTAGGATTGAGGTCTATGGAAAAACAATTGGTTCCGTGATACCATTAGGCATAGAGAGGGTGCCCTCAAAAAGACGCATTTATACTACTGAATGGCTCCCTATACATTTAGGTCTACCATTGAAAAATTTAAGGATTTTGCATCAGTCTATGGTTGACAGTATAATGTATTAAAATCAAAAGCCATTTTGGATAGAAAGGAACACATTTTCAAAAGAAATAAATATGAATAGAAATTGAAATAATTTGGTATACCTCTTCTTTACGACTTTTTGTCGTAGAGTTATCTATGATAAGGTACAGTTAAATTATGCGAAGAAATTAAAAGAAGTCTAAAATACTATTTACAGATGAAGAGAAATTCGTCCCTTGTCTGAAAATTAACTTTCATCGAATCATTGATTTACCAAACTTTATTATTTATTCTCGGTATTGCCAATGCATATATATATATATAAATATATATATAAATAAATATATATATATATATATATATATATATATATATATATATATATATATATATATATATATATATATATATATATATATATATATATATATATATATATATATGACTGTATTTTTATGGCAAAATATGAACGAGTTTTTCGGATGGTTATACTGCATGATCTTGGGAGTGCAGTATATCCTTCCGACAAAACGACTTCATATTTTCCCATACAAATACAGTAACCCTTTTAAAGTATGCTCACTTCTTATTCTTCCCAAGTCTTAATTATATAAACAAAAATAAACTGCAAGAAACAAAGTAACTAAATGTATGCCGTATTCCAAACTAAATACAAAAGCGTTGATGTATCATTGCACAACATTATTAATGAGCCCATAACTCCGCCCAGATAAATATGAAATTGGTCGCGCGCTAGACTAAGTTTCGAAAGAAATTGGCGTTTGCTCTACTTAAAATTTAAATCTGGAGTAATAATGTTAATGAATACGCATTGCAAAAACTTTTCCATTTGATCTGGGATGAATACGTTTTGGTATTTTTGTCGATTTAACGCAATCTTTTGATTATGGTCTTGATTTTTCTACATGAAGTGACTTGCATCGGATTCCAGTTGCATCTGCCAATTTAATCGTTTTGAATTGTGTTGACATCGGAATGCGTGTTTCTTTTCTGTCATTGAATGATTCAGATCATAATGTGGAAAATTTTTTAAAGCCTTTCAATTGCAATTATCGAAAATATGCTGTGAAATTTAATGTTTATTTCATTTGGAGTGCAGTAAGGAGGACTCAACTGCACTTTGAATATACTCGAAATGACTGTACAATTTCAAAATGTGTAATCAATCTTGAAAACCTATGACATGGCTCATCTAATTCAAATTTACAGACCTACGAAAGCACAT